TCTCTCACACACATCTTCATGCCAGTGACATGCCAACTTGGAGTATAGTTCATAGAACAAATCACAGGCATAAATCTATGTGCTACCAATCAGTGAAGCATTATTACTGAACTTCTAAAAACATTTCATAACTTGCTTCAATGGGACCAAGTGTGAAAAGTCCATAGAATTAGGAGAAATTACATTAAGCTAACACAAAACTGACATCAAATGTTGGACAACAATAACAATTATAACTAAATATTAAAGTAAATGAAAGGCTTGACTACTGATGTCCACATTTCATTTAATGTACTAGTGAAATGAATTAATAGTCAAGCTTATGTTCAATTATCCAGCACAAAGGTACCATTAGGAGACAACTAAAGATGCATCAGTTGGATCATTCATGGTGAAACAGGATCAACCTATTTATTATATATAAAATTCAAAGAAACTTCGAAGAGTTATGAATTATTTGGCATTGCAATAATGGTTGAAGCAGTCTGCACGGAGATTAACAACAGCCAGCTCATAATGGGCTATAGTGATCTGAGGAATGTATGACTAATTTACCCAGAGCAAAAAAAAATGTTCCCTATTAGTGAAAGTGTATGTCACTCTTCTACTTCTGTACTTCTTTTTCGTTAGTACCAAGGTCAAGCATCATTATAATAACTAAGAGGAGTTTCAATCAATTGGCAGGACACAGGGAGATTAATACTGAACTTTGGGGACAGGAAGCATGAATTCACTCAGCAGGCCCATATTATATATCTCCCATAGGAAAAGACCCTGCAATGCAGAAGTGTCTTTGAGTGATTTAAACAAGCACCACACATCATTCTCACCACCCTCCATCCAGGAATCTGCAACCTGCAAGAACATTTTTCCACACAAGGGTTTGCCTTCACTACCTGCTGCCACAGATCTGCTTTAAAAAAAATTCTTAAATTCTTCACTCTTAAAAAGGAAAATGCTGCACAATAGCACTGTGCCTAAGTTACCAGCTGGTACAAGAGATAACAAGGCTAGTGAGAACCTGTCATTCAAAATAGGAAAGGAAGAGCAAAGCACAGGCAACAACCTTTATTTCTGCCCAGTATTATTAAAAGGTAAGCAGGGGCAGCTTTGACTGCTGCATCTGAATTGTATCTACAAATGAAAACTACAGATGTGATAGAAGGGCATACGAAATAGATCATTTGGGATGGCCTCTGGAATGGGTTTTTAAAAGCAGAACTGGCTTGAAATGATAATTACCAAGGTAAACAGTATGTTATAGTCAGTCTTCCCATCATTGAAAATTAAAAATTCTTTCCAAGTTAATTTAAGAACTTGTCTGATTTTTAAAGAAAGAATAGTAGTGAATCACAATAAAATGGACACTAACATGGAGGATTCAATATTTCAGATAATGTGAAAATATTTTTTGTAAGAATAGCACTTCTGGAATAACAATTTCCGTGATTTAGTGTGTGACACCAGGGAGTGGAATTCCACAGAGTATACTTTCAAATTAAAAGTGACTCAAATTAATTAATCCCATGATGCTTTAGTTATACGGTTTGTGATTGAGGACTGAGTGCTTGAAATTTAAATGTGGCTTAAAACAATCAGCACTCGAAACAGCAAATGTTTAGCACTTCTGTATCAGTCACAATGGCAGCAGTTCAGAAAAACTTCAATAATATAGAGCAATACGCTATGGAGACACTGACTTTCAGTTGAAAAGCAGTCAGTGATACACAAATACCTACAAAAGATAAGAGGACTATGTAAATTAAAGCAGAGCTTTAAAGCAATCCTTTTTTGGTGCGCTAATATGCATTGCAGTTTTTCAGAACTACAGACAGAAATACACAAAATGTAAATAGCAACAGTGATTGAAGTACATTCTTCCCACCATCACTCTTTCACACTTCTGTAACACCAAAGGCTATAAGTACATCCTCACCTGAATGGTCGTAGGGCTTTGTAGTTCAACCATGAAAGGCATTATTTCCTTTGTCTTACTTATCAAGGTTGTAACTCTGCTCATTTGTTTGCTCTCCTCCCCCAGCCAACAGTCCTATCCCTCTTCTATCCGCCTCCCACTTTCTCCCTATTTATTTCGGAACCCCCTTCCCCTCCCCCTTTTCTGATGAAGGGTCTAGGCCCGAAACGTCAGCCTCTCTGCTCCTGTGATGCTGCTTGGCCTGCTGTGTTCGTCCAGCCCTGCACCTTGTTGTCATGGGCCCCACTGCTCATGACGTAATGGTGGGCAGACCAAAACATTCTGGTCATGTTACTTGGAGAACCAAAGCGACATGAAATCATTTTGCTATCCAAAATGATCAAACAAGACATTGATACAAGCATAATACCAGATCATTTGGCTCATCTGCCCTCTAGGTATGAAGTACGATGAGGGTTAAGTATTAAATCTACTCCAGTCAATTGAGGGGGACTAGAAACCACTTGTATCTGTCCACACCTTCCCTCCCCTGCCCAGGGTAATCTAACAGAACCATACTGTATCTAAAATCACATCCACATTGTTCAAATCTGGCAAGCAGCATTCCACAGATGTAATCATGACTGGAGCGAGCACAAAAGCCATTGTTTCAGGCAGCATTTGATCTGTTTCTTCAAAGTTTTTGTTTAAACAAGTCAATTAACATGTGTTCTTCTTGCTGAATGATATTTCCACGTTCCATCAGATTGTACTTGTGTCCTCTCAATCTGCAATCACAACTCAGAGCTAAATAGATTCCTCATTCCACAATTTTGGGGATCTTTCCAAACAGGTGGTCACCTTTTGAAGAAGTTCACATAGCGCAGGGCGAGGACCAGCAGACATTTTGTGCAAAAAGCCTTCCAATGTTCTTTTCCATCCCAAGCTGACCTACCTAGACAACAACTGTTGATCACTAGATGCATAAAAAATGTTTTTTTTAAGCCCCCTGTAATCATCACTCTCGCGAACAAATACGATTCCTCTTTTAACAGAGATTTATTAGCCTAGTTTGCTGTCTTCCAGTCAGCCCTAAATTCTACTCCATACATGCCCTACAAGAGACATGTAACTGCAAAGTGGGTGTGCTCCTATTTCCATTTTCAATCTGTAATGCTAGGTAGTCTATAAATTCAACTGCTCAAACGTAGTTATAGGAGGTTGAGGGGTGACCTTAAAGTGGTTTTGTAAAATCATAAAGGGCACAGATCAATATATAACAAGAATAGTAAAGGTCTTTTCCCTAGGGTGGCTGAGTTCAAAACTAATGGGCAATTTTTTAAGGTGAGAGGAGAAAGATTTAAAAGGGATCTGAGAGGCAACTTTTGGCTCGCATGTGGAATGAACTCCCTGAGGAAGTGGTAGATGCAGGTACAGTGGCAACATTTAAAAGACATTTGGATACGTACATGAGTAGGAATGGTTTAGAGGGATATGGGCCAAACGCAGGCAAGTGAGATTAGTTGAGTTTGCAAAACTTTGCTCTATGGCTCTATGACTCTATGGAAGTTGCAATAGAGTTGCACAGTTCCAGCCAGGGATCAATGCTCCAATTCCTGCAGAAGCTTTCCCTGGATCAGGTGGTTAGATTTATCTATTTGTTAAATTATTAGTATGTTGTTTCTATTGCTGCATACCAAGAGAAAAAGCACTTTCCTTAATAAAAGCACCATGTTTTAAGTAGCTGAGACTGTCCAAAAACTAGGAAAGGGAGATAACTTTAAGGAAATGTGAAACTTCTTGATCAAAAAAAGGGAATTTTTTTTAAGGCAACAAGGATGAGAGAGGAGGGATCCTTACAAGTAGCGATGCTTAAAACAGGATTTTTCAGCTAAAGTTATCTAAAAGCAAATATTAGGTGCTTAAATGTTCCCAAGACACAGTGTAAAAGGACTTTCTAAAAAATCAAACCAAACAAAGGTGTGGCTCTCTTATGCCCCTCAAGGATTTAAAACATATAATTCATGGAACACTCATTCAAGCTTTGGGCTCACAGTTCACAGAACCTGTTGTACCAGAGCACAGACTGGATCATTTACCAGTGCTGGCTCCAAGTCAATTCAACAAAGTCGCTGTTACTTTGGGATTTACATCTTGACAGAACACTTTTTGTGTGTTCTGTTTGGATAGGTATAAAACTTCACAGAAATAGTTTCTAAGCTTTTTTTGTTTTTAAACATTCAAATATTCCAGGCTCGGTCTAAAGTCATGAAAGATGCTACATTAATGTAGATTTTTAAACTTTTTTTCTACAGTTAAATCAATAGCAATTACTTTATTGGACTTGAAAAGATTTGCCAACAGACTTTTCTTCCTCTTTCCTCCTCCTGCCACTAGTTCCAGTTTCTAGACAGCAACCAAACCTCAACTTACCTGTACATTAAGTAAAGAAACTATTATTAAAACCTTTATAATTCATTAATCCAAGGGTATTTAAAAAAAAAATAAAGCTTTCATTGGGACAACAGAAACAGTGCTCGATTAAAGAATGTAAGTTACAGTGTATAGTAGATTATACCTTTTACCATCAAATACTGCACAAATCTTTACAGTCCATTCTTAGCTGGGATATAGTTAACATACTGCACGTTTATTAAACGCAAGAGAGAATTATCTGTGTAAATAGCCCTAACAGAAACTGATGAGAGCTTGACTGCTCTAAAATCCTGTTAGTATTTTGAGTTTGTTATTAATAGCAGGCCAACAAAAGACAATAGAAAAGACAATAGTACAGGGCTGTTTCACGAATAACCTTCACTAGGAAGTGAGTCCGTCTTGTAAATGAATTTGACCACAGTCACAAATCTAGTTCATGTTAACATAGTGGATTGCACTTACAACTTCTTTCCCCACAGGTCAATGGCAAAATTGTGATCATATTGATGCTGAAGTTATCCCTGTATGTTTGAGGGGGCTAACTATGCCACTTGCACACACTGACTGAAGTTCAATGAAACCCAAGCTGCTCACAATGTGCATGTTTCTAGAATTTGTGTTAGCAGGTTTGATAACAAAATGAGCTTACTTCCAGCAAAGGCTATCCAGCGGGCATATTTGGTGGTTTCTCTTCGCCAATGTGAAGCCACTAGCAAACCGCATGTTACTGTCAATGAAATAATGCCCAGAATAATGAAAAATAGTGTTGTGACCCATTCGGGTGGAAGACGTGGAGGGACACATGTTCGTTCACGCCCATGGATGGTTTGACACTGACGGACCAGTCCAACTGTCAGAGCACCTGTGGTAACAAAGAAAACAGACAAAACAATTTATCTTTTGGTTTGTAAAAATGAAAAATTCTCCTCACTTAATGTAAGCCTAAAAACAAACTCACACCAATCTTTTGCAGATTAAGAGTACAAATCTCTACATGGATATTTTCACACAACCCAATAAATAGATTATACAAAATAAACCTATATAATCAGGTGAAAGTGTCTCCTTTGGTGTTGCCTCACATTTACATCCATCATGAATCAAGTGTCATTAACCACTTTATCAACAAAATCAGAAACGAGAGTGGGTGCAGAAAACCTAACTGGATAGACTCAGAAGCAAACTCATATTGAAAATCTACTCTACAATGGGAAAAATATTAATTTGTTCACTAAGCCTCAAACCATACAAGCAAAACCAAAATGTTATACAACTTAGTATGTACCTACTACAGACTGGTGTCGATTGCGCTTTGAGAGTAGATCACACACAAAATACTGTGGTTGGTTCACTCGCTGAGCTGGTTCATTAGTTTGCAGACACTTCACTACCCTGCTGGGTAACATCACTGGTGCAACCTCCGATGAAACGTTGCTGTATTTTCCCACTTGTTACTTAAACTCTGGGGTCCATTGAAGTCGATTACCTTATTTCCGGTTTTTCTTTGCAGTGCACCACATTATTAGTTTATTAATTCAAAAATATGACAGGAAGATTACCTTAAGCCAACAGATTTTAATAATGTGCATTTAAATAATTGTCTTGGAATGCTCCCAGCATCGGTAACAGATTTGATTTAGTCAATACTTCACCAATACAACTTGGAATGCGCTCTCCCAATGTCACCAAAATTTTAAAGAGCAGAATTGAGAATGACTCCTCTATGCTAAATAGTTACACAACCCCAAGTGATCTGGGTCCAACTTCCTGGAGGGTTAGGTGTTGTACAGCATCAAACTGAGTGATGAAGATATCCAAGATTATCACAGAGTCTAAGTCTGTGCTCACACCACACCGAATGAATCAATGTATCTCTATCATATGCTAGGTGTGGGTAACTCATTGAACCCCATTCGTGATAGGGATTGGGAACTGCAATCATTTCTCATGAATAAGGAATTCCAAGTAGGTTGGTCATAGCTCACATTGATTATATTTTTGTTCTCCTGTTTGAAGTCCATTGCACCAGACCATTTCAAAGCTGTTATGGGTGATTTCCCATTTTCCACCCTCCACAAGCTTGAAAATGTCCAAAACTCCCCTATCTGAATACTGACTCAAACCAAGTACCATTCACCAATCACCCCTGTATGTTATGGTTCACATTATCTTCAGACAGCAATGTTGCAATTTTAAAAATTTGCAACCTCTTGTTTAGATCGTACTATGTCCTTGGCTCTGCCCATATATGTAACCTCCTACAACGCACATATTTCAGCACACCTCCCATTCTGGCCTCCTCAACACCCTCAATTGTAATCACTCCACCACTGGAGTTGCCTAAACCCTATGCCCTGGAATTCCATCTCTAAGATTCTAGATCTTAGCATTTCTCTGTTCTTCTTTAAGATGTTCTTTAAATGTTTCACTAGAGGTTTTTGTAAATTCATAGCTCAGTGTAAAATTTTGTTTGATAATGATTGGAACCCTCTGACAAAACCATTTAAATTGAAGAAATTGTAGAGTTCCACTGAAGTAAATAATTACTCAAAAAATGTAAGACGATTAACTACCTAGTCCAACTCCCAAGTAACTATTAAATTTATCCCCCACTTACCTCAGACATCTGCAACTACACCTTCCCCAGACTTTTACCCAACACTTTTCAACCCCAGGGACCTCACACTCACGATCACCAGACCAGATATTCCACTCTATTCCCAGGACCCAACACAACTCAGCCACCGGACCTGACAATTTTCACTAAGCCTGGGTCTTGACCACCTCTCCACTCTAGACCCAAAATTGTCCCTTCTGCTTTCCCCAAATCTTCTGCCCACCCCAACTAACCCGACAGATTCAATGACCTACCTAGCCCCTTTGCTACCTTGCATCCCAGCACACTATATCCCACGCACTGGCATCTACCTTTCAGGCACCTTAACCTCACATTTATCTTACCTACTTATTCTTAGACAGTAGCTGTCAAAGTAGCTGCCTGTTATTCTGGCTCCTTAAATTTCAGAATACAGCAACTGACTGCTGTGAAAAAGGGCATGGTTTGCGTTCCAACAGTTCTGCATGATGAGGAGTAAGTCAGAATGGAAGTACACCTCCTCATTTCAAAAAGGAGCCCTGATCGGAATCTCCAGTCTGAAATACGGTGCTCTATCATGGTGTTAAAAAAAAAGCAGCTTTGAAAAGTTTGGCCCAATATCTCTTGCATTCTAGTACCACCAATTCAATATTCTCCAATTAAATCAAGGAATGGATTTATCTCATCAATTCACTACATTGTACTCTGTCTTTTATAACAACTTGTTTATATGATTCCAGTTCGCCACGAAGAAATTGTCTAAAAATGGCCTGCTCATCAAATTACACAATATCCTGGGTTGACAGTGGTTAAAATGGTTTGGATAACGGAGGTCAATTGAAATTGTGTAGTACTAGTGGTACTTTCTCAAATATCAGTTACCTCCATCACTCGATATAGGTGCTCATCAAGATAAGGTATTTATTGCTGGGAGACAAAATGCTTTTTAGTTTTGACTTTATCAGTAAAATAAGAATTACAATATCAAGAATTCCCAATTAAGATACAGCAAAAGCTGCATATAGAATATAGCTCCCATTCTACCCTGCATTAGCCCACCACACCAATGTGGCCTCTTTCAATGCTCATGCCAACCATCCTACTGTGGCCTCATCAACTAAGAACAGCAGCAAATGCTAAAATAGGACCAGTTTAGATTATGACAGTCACATATCTCTACAGTTAGCACACAGGACACTCGCTGCAATGCGATTTACTAGAAAGGAACAGTTTTATTGGCACAAAGATATATTATAATTAACAGACTTTGACTAATAACACATGCGGCTTGCAAAACATCAGGCCATTTGCACAATACAGGTAGTTCTCCTATAATGCGACAGTTGCGCTCTTGTAAGACCTCGCTCTTTAGAAAATCGCGTTATAGGAAAATCGCTATACTGGTTCTGCAGAAAGTTCACATTATCCAAACAGTGTCTACGATGCATCAATTGTGTTACAGCCAATTTGCGTTAAAGAAACACGCGTTATAGCAGAACTACCTGTACTCTAATTCTTTGTTGCCACAAACCATTTCCTTACATCTTATTATGAGAACAAAGGGATCAAAAGAAACATTTCCAGTTCATGCAGCTGCCTAATTTAACAGAAAATTCCACATTTAGGAGGTTTAACCAATGCTTGAACAGTAATTCCTTACAGCAATGTGAATCTTTAGCTCTGTATACACAGTTTAGTTAATGTAATTGCTGCTAAGTTGGCAAATTAACATTCGGGTTTGCCCTGATCTTTTTTAAGATGAGAAAAGGCGGCTTTCAGCAATGGTTCAGTGGGCAAACACACTATCAATTGTGACATTGACAAAGAGGACAAACTAGAAGCAGCAAGGTGCCATCTGTACAGTGATCCCAGCAGAGTGGCAGCAACAACTGGGAGCTGAACTTCAGGACTGGAGAGGGGTGAGGGGCAGCAGATGCAGGAGGCACTTAATCAGTCAAGAGTCGCTCTTCCCGACTGATATCTGGTGACATCTCATAAAAAGAAATTGAATGTTGGGGAAGAACCGACTGAAACAAGTTGCAATGGCTACTTTAATGCAATATTTTTATCCAGGCACACAGAAGGCAATATTGGAGGTCGGTAATTGGTCATTGACATTTGAGGAACAGGTGGAAAGATAAATACGTAAGAGATTGGCGAGGATAGGTAGAAAACAACAGGAATTATTTATCAGGTCACTAAAATATCTATTGAATAACACATTAAATACATTAATTTATTACAGTGCCTCCCATGTTTAATGAACTGTTCAAACAAGTGTCTAAACCAGACAAGCCTTTATTTATTCATCAAATTCTGTGGTAAAGCTTTTCCTTCCACATGGCTGCTGAACTGACCTTTATTATGAACTGCCATTGTAGGATTGAAAACTTTAAAAATGAGTTAAGTTCCCATTATGTTAAATACAATGGTTACAGTGTCCATTTGAAATATGTCTAATTCATTAAAGTTTTAAGCGGCATTTTTGTTGTTGGTTATAAATTCTGGAACCAATTCATTTGTTAAATACAAATGAAACTTTTATAAAAGTTGCTAAAGTACAAGTGTGGTCAGCGTAGTACCTTTCAGTTTCTTTCACATAACTGAAGACACAGTATGCCACGTAGGAACACTCATTGCACTGAGCTGTTTACTCTGGCAGTTAGTGGCTCAGCAGTGTTGGAATATTATATCTGAAAAGGTCTCTGTTGAATGTCAATTTTCAACAGGATCACAGGGAAAGAAACCACAAAAATTGAATTTTAATTGTTACTAATTTGACCAAGATCTTTCTGCCAATCTTCTCTTTATATTTCGGTCCTTCAATGTAAAGGTACCACAGTTTTGAACAGGTAACTAGTTGGGTAGTTTAAGATGAGCCAGTGGATCCACTGCAGTTGGATTTCCAAAAGGTATTTGATAAGGCACCAGACAAAAGGCTACCATGCAAGATGGAGGCTAATGGAATTGCAGGAGAATATAGCATTCGTTAATGGATAGGAAGCAAAACGTGGGGAATAAATGGGGCTTAATCAAATTGGCAGTCTGTAATTAAAACAGTATCACAGATAGAGTGCTAAGGCCTCAGCTATTTACAAGCTACACTGATGACTTGGTAAAAGAAACACAGAATGATTTAACTCAGTTTATTGATGATACAAAGCTAGGTAGGAATGCAAGCTGTGAGGAAGACATGCAGAGACTACAAAAAGTTAGTGGACAAGATGATAGATGGGTAAATGTGGGTAAAAATAAGATGATTAATT